TAAGCTTTTTGTTTTTTTCTTTTGTATCACTCGAATTCTTGATTATGTATTCAAGAATTTACGGTTAAAATATATATATATATTTGCCTAGTATAAGTAATCAAGCAACTATAAAAAAAAAAGAATAACAAATTTTTTTTTATATGTCGCATGTTTGTCTAAAAAATGAAGTAGAGAACATAAAAAAAATGGTATAATTGTGCAGTAAAACAAAAAATAAGTTCTCAATAAAATGAAATTATCTTTATTTACAAGTTAAATTCAATTTCTATTCGTTATTATTATCATATATATTAAAATTTCTTTTGTGTATTAGTATGAGTTTGGTCGTTGCTATTGAAATCTGTTTATTACGATTGCTATCGTTCTTTTTTTCCTACTTAGTTGTGAAGCAACATAAAAGATTTCTTTGTATGACTAAGTATTACTAATATCTTTTTTTGAAAGTATATATAAAATTAGTTAAAACTCAATAAAATCATTGAAAGTTTTATCGACATATTGTGTTGATTTTCATTTTTTGACTTCTTTATATTTATCAATTTTCTATTAAATAAAAATGAATGAATAATTTTTGTATGGATTTATTTTTTTAGATGTCAAATATTCAGTATGAATATGTTGATGAATCATTGATTGATGAAAATTATAAATGTATAATATGTAAAGAACCATTGATAAATCCAACAGTCACACCATGTGATCACACTTATTGTCAAAAATGTATTGAACATTGGTTAAATGAAGGTTATTCAGCATGTCCTTCTTGTCGTCATATTCTATCGATGAATGATTTAAAACCAGTTTCAACTCGTTTAATATTAAATATTCTTGATCGATTAATAGTTAAATGTTCGGAATGTGGACAAAATGGAATTCAACGTGGCAATTTTAATGATCATCTTACTAAATTATGTCCGAAAGGAACGATTTTTTGTTCAGCATTTGATATAAAATGTCCATGGTCTGGTCCACGTGAACAACTTGATAATCATCTTAATACTTGTAATTATGAAAAATTAAGATCCGTATTAACTCATCTTGTAAATAAAAATCGACAATTAGAAGAACAAATTCATACACTAACAAATCAAGTTCAAACTTTACAATCCATAGTTCAAAGTCCAACTAGACATTTAATTACATTTGATAAATTATTTGAAATCGAAAAACGAACTGATTCAGGAATATTATCAGAATTATATGAAGGTTTAATATGGAATAATGTATGGTATATGCATGAACAATGGGTTAGAACAAATCATGCTCTTAGTGGATGGAAGAATGCATATACAAATGGTCATATTTGTGTTGCATTTAATGGAAAAGGAAGTTCGATGAGTATATGTTCAAGACGAAAAGAAATTGATACATTTTCATTAGTTTCATTTGAAGCAACTGCCGCTTGGCTTGATAATCTTCATATTAATATTATTGGACGACGATTAAAACAAGAATTATATTCCAAAACAATCGTTCTTCAATTTGATAATTCACAAATATTTTATTTTGATTGGAAAAATATGGATGAACTTCAATTTATACCAGTTAGTGGAAAAGAACATCCTGGTATTCCATATACTGATAAATACTTTGCAATCACATGGATATTATTAGGTTAATAATTTATTTGTACATAGAATATTATTTTACTCTTCATATATGTTTTTATTATATATAGTAATAAATATTATCATCTATGTTTTTAGTAAATCAGTAAATTAACTGATTATTAAAAGATAAAGAGACAGTAATTGACTGGCTTCTATGAAGATGTCATCGCATGGTATTCAATGCTTTGAGTATTATACATAGTTGATAGATCTGATTATGATTATTTTATAATCAAAAAAGTATTAAAACTAAAGCGACCTCTGATGGGTCTTCGTTGACAGACTTAGAGGTGGAATTTCTTCTTAAATGGAAACAAATTGCTTCTCGTCAAAATATAGGTCGTTGATTAGTTTCAATCAAAATAGAAAAGAAAACAATTACGGAAGAGAAAGACTTTCTCGTTAAAAGTCCTTCTCTTTATCCGTAATATATTTTTACTTGTTAACTTCCGTTTGTTTCTTTTGTAAATCTATCAAGAAAATGTCTAGAAAATCATATTCAGCATTTTAACGTCTACAACTTCAATATCGTCATCTATTTAAAGATTCAATTTCCTACTTAACAGCTCAACCACTATCATTCAATAGCATTATATTTTTTCAGAACTAACTAATACATCATATATATCAAGGACAAATTATTTTTCTTCCCGAATATTCTTTGAAACCATCAAGTGAGATATATTTTTCTATGCCTTAAACTATTTGTTTATGATTCATTATTATATAATATTCAAGAGCCCATATTTCGTAAAATAATCGAAGAAATAAAATAAATATTAGCTGAGCGAACGAGAAAAATATTATTGACAAACTCTTTTATAAATAATTCAAATCAACAGCAAATAAGTACTTCAATATTTTTTGCTTCATAATCTTATTGAAAATATAAAGATTACTACATTTTTGGTTTGATTTATTTTGCGTTTTTAGATATGAGCATTCAAAGTAATGTTCTCGGTCCGTTTCCATCTCATACTGGATCGGATCCATTTGGATCATTGAAACATTTTGAAGTTCTTAAAACACTTGGACGTGGACATTTTTCTGTTGTTTATTCTGCACGAAATCGATTTAATGGTCTTTGTGTAGCTTTAAAAAAAGTTGAAGTAAGCAGGTGTTAATAATTTTTTAAGATAAAAAAAATTTCTTTTATCAAATTAGTTAAGTCGAATGGCTGATGCTAAAGCTATTGAAGATTGTAAACGTGAAATAAGTTTACTTCAGGTACTTTTCTTTTTCTTCTTCTTCTCTATAATTAAATTTATTATAATTTAGCAATTAGATCATCCAAATGTTATTAAATATATTTCACATTTTGTTGATGAAAATGATTTGTACATTGTCTTGGTATTGAAAAAAAACATTCTTAAAATAATAATAATATATTTTTTGTTCTTAATAGGAATTAGCTAGTGCGGGTGATTTAGCTAAAATGATCAAACATTTTACTCGAACTAATAAATTAATGCCAGAAAAAACAATATGGAAATTTTTTAGTCAGATTTGTAGTGGACTTGAACATATGCATTCAAAAAGAATTATGCACCGAGGTAAGAATTAATTCAATATGATTCATTTCATATAAATTATATGTTAAATAATAGATATTAAACCAGCAAATATTTTTGTCAGTGGTGAAGGAATTGTTCGACTTGGTGATCTTGGATTAGGTTCGTTTATTTAGTTATAAACCGGTTTATTTTTATTAATTTAAATAAAATCAGGTCGTTTTTTTGGTTCAAAAACAACATCTGCACATTCTATGGTTGGTACACCGTAAGTTATTTTTTAAGGAAAAGAATAAATAAATATAAAACATAATAGATATTATATGTCACCTGAACGTATTCATGAACATGATCTTGGTTATGATTTTCGATCTGATATATGGTCTCTTGGTTGTATTTTATATGAAGTAAAATTTTTTTCTTCAAATACTATTACAAAATCGTATTTTTATTTAGATGGCAGCTCTTCGTTCTCCATTTTATGGTGAAAATTTGAATCTCATATTATTACGTCAAAAAATTGAAGCACTTGATTATACACCATTACCAACTAATTTCTATTCATCTGAAGTATGGAAATAAATTTTTATATATTTTATTATTAATTTATTTTTTTTTCATAGCTTCGTCTTCTTGTATCAAAATGTCTTGTATTAGATCCTGAACAACGTCCAGATATAAATGAAGTAAATCGTATTGCTCAAATGATGTATACAAGATTTCTGACACCAGCAAATAATACTCCAACACCAACATCATCATCATCATCATCACGTAATGATTCAGCTTCTGGAAATCTAACACCCGTGAATAATCGATAATAATAATAATTTATAGACAAGATTTAGTCGCCGTCCATATAATAATACAGTGAGAATATAAATTCATTCCTTCCTTGTTCACCGGTCTTTTGATTTATCTATTTATTGTATTCAAAACGTTAATAATAATTAAAATTATTGTTATTGTTTTTCTTCTCGTTGTTGTAAATTTCATATTCTATTTTACTGATTTTTATATTATTTTATTTCGACGTACACAGAATTCTATCTACAATATTATTTTCCCATTCACATTGTTTCAGTTGAATTTTATTTTTATTGTAAATTTATTCGAAAAAAGAAATAAATGAGAAACACAAATATAATATATACAATATAATTGAACATCGAAATTTTTTATCTATATAGTTGATTGCATTGGAAATAATTATAGAATGAATCATTTTTTCTTTTTCTTCGGCTATTCTGAAAATTAAGAGGATTACTTTTTTCCTTCATTCAAGATGAAATTGATATAAATTATTCACAATAAATGCTAGTGCCAATCTTAACAAGTCACTACGTCTGTTATTAATTTATCAATTAAGACTTCGTAAAATTCTTTATATACATTTGTATGAAAAGAAAGGAAGAGAAAATTAACCTAGATTAATTAATATAAAATGTGTACAAATAGTATTTTCATTCTTGACGTTATATTTATTTTCTATCAGTACAAGTTAGTAGATGAAATGAAATTATTGAAAAATTAGCAAACATTTGAGTATTACAGACTTATGATAACGAAATAAACAACAGCTGCTGATATTTAGTTTTATTTTACATTTTAAGAACATCCGATATATGAAATTCCTTTTTTTTTAAAAACAACACCTATAGGAAGAAGAATCGGTAGTTGAAATAATCTTTATATTATTCAATAAGATTTTTTATTTCATAATAGCATGATATCAAGTTTTATGAGAAACAAAATTGTTTTATGATTATTACCTAGGAAGAAGAAAAATAACTTTAGTCATTATTTGATAAGAGCTGTGATAAAAACTGTATTTAGTTACAGAATTAAAAGTTTTATTTCCAAGTAATTCGGACTGATGGCTCGCTACTTTGAATTTAATGGTGGTGTTAATGTTAATCGAATTGGAGGACGGACATCAGTACCGGATGATAATATAGCTAAATGTATGTATTATCTTAACTGTGTTTGTACAGTTATTGAATATGATGACGATGATATGGAACAATATACAGATTATGAAAATTATCGATGGCTTACACCATATCAACGGCGGCGTGTATTTCTTTTATGCAAAGTTTTGAGTCCTGATGAATTTGAAGATCGAGTTTTTTTTGAAAATGATGACATGTGTGGATATGGATCGGGTAATGCGTTTTATAAAATAACTCAAGTTCGGCATCAACTAATGACTGTGAGTTCAGTACTTATTGCTGGACAAAGACGAGATGTTAAAAAAATTATGATTTACAAGCAATCATGGATGCAAAAAAATTATTATGAACCTATGCAATATCTTGAATATGAATATAATTTACAACGTCGTCAACAGGTTGCTGAACAAATTCTATCAGAAGCTTGTATTATATCATAAAGAAACACGAGAACTAATAAAATAATAATCCAGACACTTCTTAATAAGTCTCCTTTACTATCTTTAATAAAATTACAATACATATTGAAATTATTAATTTATATTTTCAAAGTCTGGCTAGTTCAATGGTATTTTGAGAAAGTTCTTTGTTCAGTTTCTTAGAGCAAAAATGCATCTTAGAAGACGAAAATAACTATTATAATTCATACAATTAACTACAAAGATCAGACAAAAAAGTATTTAATAGAGAATTAAACAAATTATTATAGACCATATTCATCGAAATATGAATACTTTAATTGAAATATTTTCTAATATTAAACTATGTAATTATGAATTTTTCAAGTAAGTATTAAATAATAAAATAGTGTCAACCATTTAACAGCTCTATTATCTATTGTTTTTCATTCTATTTAATATTCTTCGAAAGAAATATTATCTTGTTCTTCATGCTGATTATCTGTAATGTTAGTATTATTGGAAGATGGTATATCTTCATAATGAATCATATTTAAAGCATTTCGATTGACACTTTTGAGATCACGTACAAAAAAATAGAGTAATACAGTTGTAATTATACTGATTGTAACACCTATTGAAATTATACCTATAACAATATTGATTCGAAATGATAACTTTGGTAAAATGAAGTAAATATGTTCTTACTTAGAATGTAAGAAATGAATGCATATCGAGTAGCGATTCGTTCATAAACAACATTTTCATAATTTGTTAACATATATTTTGATTGTCTTTTAGCCAGATAGACTAAAATGCATGCAATCAAACCTGAACAGATATAAAATTTTATAAAATTATAAGAAAAAAGTTCTCATCAACCGATCGGTGGATTAAGAATGAAAGCTATTGATGCTAATAATAAATAATGTTTGTTTTCATTTTGTATGGATGTACGTAATTCAATGAGACGATGTCGAGTTTCATCATCAGCAAATTCATGTTCAATGAACAATTCTTTCGATAAAGTTTTTCCTAAAGAATAGCGAGTTACACAAAATAATTTCTTCTTTTTTGATATCGATGATTCGTCAGTAGATGAAGAGTATTCGGTGTTAGTCATGTTCAAATTTCAATAGCGACTGAATACGCATTAAATAAAGTTAGTGAAACAGAGATTATTGTAAATACACAATAATTTCGTACTGATAAATATGCTTGACAACCTTGACTAAGATGAATCATCAGAGAAAAAAAGAAAATTTAGAAAGTGTTTCTTCTATAGTGATAATATAAAATTACAACAGTAATGATACATTAACTGATAACTGTTTCATATCAATCGATGAGTGAAAATACTATACGATTACTATTTTCTACTATTATGCATCTTTCTCTTCATCGAACATACTCAATTATTTATGAAAAATTCATTAACATTGATGCTAATAAATATCTCAACTAAAACAAATGCGTTGACTATAATTAAATGTGCATTAAAAGATAAGTTATACTTTTGCTAGAACTCTTTCATAGTTATTTATTAACTTTCTTAAATTTTTATTTCAAATAAATCTTCAGATAGTCGTACATAGCAATTATTCAATCGTCAATAAGAACTATTGCTAGCAATTCAAGACCTTTTCAGTTAATAATAATTTTTATTACTAACAACGATTATCGAAGACTTACCTATATTAATTTTGCATCGAACTTATATTATATATATATATATTAATCTCAACTACTATCAAGCTAGTACTATAAGTGTTAAAACAGTATCTTCTAATAATTTCCAAATAGATCTCATCAATACTATCTATTGATGATACAACTTATAGGTAGTATTGAGATTGTTGACTATTTGATATATGCTTATAGTTTTCTTCCAATTTATTTTTAGTTTAACTACATCGTATGATAATAAATTATCTACGATATACTTTATATTTTAATGTGTTGTATCTTCCTACGTAAATTATCTAGTTAAAATAGTCTAAAAAACAGCAAAAATCCCTATTAACAATGTAAACAAATATTTCCTGACTCTTTACAAATACTAATCATATCACTTGATTTTGATGTCTTTATTCTATTGAATGATACGACACAACAACAATCAAGTTCTCTTAATTTATATGAATATTTTCTAAACAATTTCAGCAACCGAAATAATCACTGCACTTGCGATTATTAACTACGACTTCATTAGAACAGTACTAAATATTATCGTATTATCTTGTAGTAAAAGACTATCATCGATAAATACGTTTTTCTAGTATAGCTTCTGTCATGATTTCACTCATAACAATAAAGAAGTGAGTCCTCTAAAACATCAGCAATCGTGAAAACTTCACATAACACATAACATATCATCATCATCGCCATCACTATCTTCAATGTTTCTTTCTTCTTTGTCAAGTTTTATAACAATAAAAAACGCACATGATATCATTCCTGCTAGTAAAACTTCTATGATCGTGCTTGATTCAGTCTTATATCTTGTCACAACATCATTGTTTTCTTTGTTATACTCATCTCTTTTTATATCATATATCTGTCATTCTTACACAACAATAAGAAACTAAGAGTTTTCAATGTTTTTCTCTACTTATAATCAATGCATTGATTTTACTCAACATTAATCTTAATTTAATCAACGAAAAGCAAAAAAGCATCATAAATAAATGTGACTGACAACACAATAATAAAAATAACAACTATCTATATCAACAAATGCACGTAGCTTTCTTTCGTGTTTTAAGACCCTTAAAAAGAATTGACCCATCTTTTTAAACGAGAGATAACATACATCCGTTATCATATTACGAATTTAGTAGTATATAGGACTGTAACGCAAGTGTAATAATACTCACATATCTACTAAAATATAGAAAAATGAAATATATGATAAATGTTTTCTTTTTCGGTAAGATTTTCAATAATATCTTTGCTATATATTTCGATTCATTTATTTTATTTAGTGTCTACCTGTTTAATAATAACTAATGCACAAATATTGTACCAATGCAACTTTGACACTAATACAATAACAAATTTATGTCTTAAAAATGAAGGATTGTATGGATTGAGTATTAGTGAGGAAATAGGAAGTGCTGGTGAACAACCACCTACTGCACCTCTTTCTGATGTCACATCTAGTCGTATGATTAACTACTTAGTATCTTTTTCACAAACATTTATTTTCTCACCTTCTAGTTAAACCAACAAGTAATGGTCAATCATGCAGTCTGCCTTATAAACTCAATCCTTTCACTTGGGATATGTACTTTTGTAATGAGGGTTATTGTCAAACAACAACTGATTCAACTTCAGAATGTTCTGCTGGTAATGTCATAGAAACATGCAAAGCTATACGATTTTACTGTATTTTAGGCAGATTTGGATATTTTGGTTTTGCAGCAGTAAGCAAAGTTAGTTTCACTCTGAATACTGACTCAGGTGGTACAAATGGTACCGGTGAACAATGTCTGATCTATTATTATTATTTGTCTAACATAATAGGAACAGACCTAAGCATCACAGTACGCAGACAAGAAGCAGAAGACATTAGTGAAACAATCGGTGTTGTAACAAGTAGTCCATACAATGGATGGATAAAGCGTCAAGTATCATTTCATACTTCAAAGGGTGGTTATAAAGTAAGATGTCTAGCTGATAGGTTCCTTGTTTATGCGTAATGCTTTCCGTCTGTCACTGTTTAGATCTACTTTGATTTTGAGAAAACATCGGGACCACCTAGTTCTTCCACAATAATTGCTATTGATGAGATATCAGTACTTCAAGGCGATTGTCGTATGTTTAAAGATATTTAAAGAATAATTTTATATGAGTTAATTTTGTTTTAGCTACTGAACCTACTACTCAAAGCACACCAACAATTTCAGTGGGAACAACAACTTCAATAACAACAATAACGGAGCCGGATATGACTGCAAGGTGAGATCAGAAGAATAGTTTTTCTCTGATTAATGTTTGATTTCATTTACCATCGTAGTAATAGTACTGAAACTATATCAACTGTACAGACAACTGATACAACAGTTACTGAATCATCATCATCAATGGTAATATCTAACCTTTTGAACAGGAGTGAAAACTTGGAATCTATGAATCTTTAGATCACGACGATGGATTCGACAGCAATTGGAATAACAAGCATATCAACAGTAATATAACACTTCAGTTATTTTGATAGAAATCTATATGAGAATATACGCAGTATTGTCGAGTTTTATGTAGTTTCAAAGTGAACTTCAAAATATGAGAAGTCTTGCCGAAGAAGACTGATGTAGAAATGATACTTATAATAGAAACTTATAAAGATTTTGAATTTATATAAAAATGCTTATTAGCTTCTTATTATAAAACATTTATATATATATATGATTGCTACCGAAAGCCTCTGTAGTCAGTATTATGAAACAGTCATAAATTAATTATTTGTTTTATTCAAAATAGTATGTAAAATATCTGTGTGAGTATCTTGGATACTTAGTTGTCAATCTTGTTTTCATAATATTTTATAATAACTTATACTAGATTGTGCTCTAATAGTATAAGTATGTACGGCATACTCTTGTGTTAGATAGTGTCAAGAAGATCATCCAAAACAATTTCTCCTGAATTAATATTTCACATATACATAATAATAGTAATTAATCAAATTTTATTTGATAACCTTCGCTTTTTATTTTAGGAGCCTATTACTACAGCTACAACTGCTACCACAACCAGTGTTACCTCAACAATTACAACTACTACTATCACAACTACTGCTACTTTAACAATTACAACTACTGCTTCCTCATCAACTACAACTACGACTACCTTAACAACTGCAACTACTATTACCTCAACCACTACGACAACTACTGTCTCAACAACTACAACAGCTACCAGTACCACTACTTCAACAGCTACAACTACCACTACCTCAACTACTACTGTGATTACCACTACTACTACCGCAACTACTACAGCAACTACTACAGCAACTACTGCCTCAACAACTATCAGTACCAGTACTATTACTTCAACACCTACTACTATAATCACCACTACTACTACCACAACATCTACTTCTACACAAACAACAACAACAACAACAAGCACAACTTCAACATCATCGACTGCAAAGACTACGGCTACCACGATGCTCACAACTACAACAACAGTTATGACGAATCAACCATCATCTATTACGATGATTACCAATTCCACATCAAATGTAACACAATCAACTACAACAGATTCATTAGAAAATACAACAAAGAAAGATCCGTCCAAAAGAACGCTGATCATTGCTTTGGCTACTGGAATACCGGCTGCATTGATTATAGTTGTCATTATTGGTGTGTGGATAAAAAGATCAGCGGTTAGCGGCCTTCTTAGTGGTATTTCACAGCCATTCACTGACATAACTGATCAAAATGAAATGACTACTTTTAAACTCAATGATTTACAAGACGATCATACCTTCTAATATCTTGCATAACAATAGGTGTCCGACGGAAAAGAGGCCCCTCTGTATTTTACTGATATTTAGATTTATTCTCGTTCGATCAGACTTATTTTTTTTTTGAAATATTCTTCGTAAGATGTTCTACAAAATAATGTCGTTTTTATTTATGTAAATAGCATCTATCATTTTTTAATACACGGTCCAAACGAATAACCCAAGACGAACAATTTTTTAAAATAACATGTCGAATATTTTTGACTACACTTTTCGGTGTTCCTTTGTTCTAGTTAATGGATTGTGCAAAATTGTCCCAAATAGTATAGTCCGATGGATTTTTATCTATGAACGATGGAAAGTTTTCCTAACACCATTCTTGTGTTGGGCGATGGAAGTGAGGTTTCGCACTGTCTTACTGAAGTATCCAATTTTCTCTAAAGAAGTATTGCCATATTTTAAAGCTATTGGGAGAATATTCTGAACATATTCAGCATAATCTACTGTACTTTAGTCAAAGATGATCTAAGATATCACTCCTTTGGAGCAAACACCTTTTTAAGAAACTTTCGTTTCATTTTAATACTACCTCTTTCACCTGAACATAAAATTCGCATCGTGTCTTTTTTTCGAGAATTATTGAGGCCTCATTTTGCAACAACTTTTTTGTACCATTTAAATCACGAACGACCTTAGCTGGACCATTACCATCTTGATATTTAGAAAAAAACTAGGCTTAAACGAATAAGAATCGATGGAGATATCAGTAAAATACTGAGAGATCCATTATTCCTGGGACTATGTATCAATTCATAATTAAAATAATTTTCATCTTATGTTCTATTTCAATTTCTAAATAGTACTATAAGAAAAAACTTCTACTTAAATCTTGATTATTACTATAGTATTCCCATTTCTCTATGGATATAACTTATATCAATCATTTTTATTTTTAGACACATCCCATAATAATACTAGTATCTTCTACTAATACAAATCATGAAAACACATCTTTAAAAAATTGTTATGCTTATGTCATGCGTCGATTGTCTTTGTAGAACTGAATCGTATTATTCCTGCTTAACAGATAATTAAATTTTATTTTAAAACTAATAAAAACCTTCTCACGCAATCCAACTTGATTATCTTTCACTGAAAAATTATTCATCTACATATATATATATATAGAAAAAGTAGAATGATAGAAACAGAACAGAACAAGTTTTTTTTACGGATATTTTTTTCATAGACTACTCAATTATATTATATTAACGTCGTCATTTCGTCATTTGATCTTCTAAAATGAAATCAACGTTTTGTTTTTCTATACAAAACAAAGGTAAAACAAACGAAGTTATTATTCATTATCATAAAATTATTCACGTACATGCTATAAAAACACAATTAATTTGACCATAATTTTTTCTTCTCTATTGTATCATAGTTAAGAATTTAAATAAGTAATTATCATTATTTTTCTTGTTTTAAGATGAATAATTGTGTTCAGTAATTAAATTAGCGCCATCTAGTGTAAATAAAATCTTTTTCTTAAAGGAGATATTATTTATTCTGAATGGCTAGAATTATGATCAACAATTGTATTGAGAATGATAAAAAGTCGTATTCTCTCTTCCTGTCGTTTGGTCTCTCTCTTCGTCTCTTCTCACGAAACTTTCCTTTTGAAGAACGATAGTTTTTTACATCATGTTGCTTATTCTGCTTCATATAAACAAATCGTTTTTTTGAAAGAAATCAATATTATTTAAGTTCAATCAAGTTAACCTTGATCGAACTCGATTATGAAGAAAAAAAAAAGAATTTTTCTTCTCCTCTTTCATTCTTTTTATTCCAGATGACAATAATGTAAAAGAACAGAACATACCAATGAATACAAGCATTGATCACCTAGTGACCACTGATTCTCAATCAGGTCTTATAGTAACTCGTGGTATACCACTTTCTTCATTTACATCTACAGATGAATCTATTCTTGATCTTAGTCAACGATTAATTATTATTGATAATTGGAGAAAAAATTCAACATGTATTTATACAGATTCAATTGATGATGATGAATTCAATAGAATAACAATAGAAAATAAAGACAATAATAATTTAAATATTGAATATTCATTAACTGATCAATTAACACATAATTTAATAAAAGAAAATTCATTGTCAGATAATACAAAACAATCACAAATTGATCTTTATTGTTCAAAGAAAAAATCCAAGTAAAATAAAAATATTTTTTAATTTTTATTTATAAAAAAATTTTATTTTAGTTTATCATCATCTCGTATTGTTATACATGAACTTGAACCTTCTTCTTCTCATTTATCATCATCCAATTTTCTTTGGTCAAACTATTTTTCATTAGTTAATGAACGATCTGTATCCGAAGAATTTTTTGATCATTATTTAGCATCAATTCAATCCGGTTTTGAAATCAATATGAAACTTGAATATTGTTATGATAGTCAACATGATTTATATTGGTTAACACAAATACAATTAGTTTCTCATAGTTTAATTCGTTTACATTATGTTGGTTTACCTGAAGATGATACTTCAAATGATTTTTGGACATATATCTATGAACAACGTTGTCATCCAATTGGTTGGTGTAAAGAAAATAGTAA